CATACAACATACATACGATGTACATACAACATACATACAACATACAGAAGCGTTTCATTTAGCTGCTGCTGCTGCTCCAAAGTGGTCTGCACCTCTTCTCTGGAGATCGCCACTCCACCAACTCTGTATTCTTCTAAACTGATGTCCCATTGACGTCCAATCAATACAAATGCGAACATACGCAATTGTTTCGCAAGAACATTTGGGTTGTAATTACTCGATGAACATTTGTTTTGTAACAATTCACATCGTTTTAAAGCTTTCGCGACTGCAGGGATTCATTTTCTTGGTTCTTTCGGTAAAGTCACCACGTAGAAGGGAAGTAATGAAATAACAATTATCTTATTATGTTTTATTTTTATTATTTTATTACTTTCCTTCTACGTGACTTTACCGAAAGAACCAAGCACATTTCACATCGTGTTTATTGTGAACTCCATGCTGTCTGCTGGGCGAGACAAAGAACTGTCGGGCTCGATGGGTCAATTTATTCGGATTATACATTCATGATGCTGACTCTTATCAATGCTCCATCATCATCATAATCATCAACACTCCCATCATCACGATCATCATCAACACTCCATCATGATCAAAACACCATCATCATCATCAACAATTCATTATCATTATCATCAACACTTCATCATCATCATCAACACTCCATCACCACCATCATCCTTCAACACTCCATCATCATCATCATCAACACTCCATCATGATCAAATCATCGTCATCATCATCATCAAAGCTCTATCATCACCAACACTTCATGAACATCATCAATACTCCATCATCATTATCATCACCATCACCACTCCATCATCATCATAAACACTCCATCAATATCAGCATTAACACTCCATCATCAACACTCCATCATCATCATCACTCCATCATCATCATCACTCCATCATCATCATCACCAACACTCCATCAAAATCATCATCAACACTCCATCATGATCAAATCATCATCATTATCATCAAAGCTCTATCATCACCAACACTTCATCAACATCATCAATACTCCATCATCATCACCACTCCATTATCATTAACACTCCATCATCATTATCAACACTTCATCACCATCATCATCATCACCACTCCATCATCATCACCACTCCATCATCACCAACACTTCATCAACATCATCATCATCAACACTCCATCATCATCACCACTCCATCATCATCACCACTCCATCATCACCAAAACTTCATCAACATCATCATCATCAACACTCCATCATCATCACCACTTCATCATCATCACCACTCCATCAACATCAGAATCAACACTCCATCACGATCATCATCATCACCACTTCATCATCATCAACACTCCATCAACATTAATAACATCACCAAGATTTGGTGACTTTGTGACTCGTTCGGGAGGCGACGTGGATTTCGCGGCACGCCCGCGACAAATTCCTCATCGGCGAAATTCCTCCGCGTTTTCACGCGCTCGGTCCCCGCCGTTGAGACCCGTGTCACGAACATGGCACAGCGATTCATAGACATACACAGACATACACAGACACACACAGAGATACAGAGACATACACAGACACACATAGACATACACAGACATACAGACACACATAGAGACACATAGACACACATAGCTATAAGTGGACTATGTGTGAGACATGATTCACTAACATGGCACAGACACACATAGACATACACAGACACACACAGACATACACAGACACACATAGACATACACAGACATACACAGACACACATAGAGATACATAGAGACAGATAGTGATAAGTGGACTATGTGTGAGACACGGTTCACTAACATGGAACAGACACACACAGACACACATAGACATACACAGACATACACAGACACACATAGACATACACAGACATACAGACACACATAGAGATACAGAGACATACACAGACACACATAGACATACACAGACATACATACACACATAGAGATACAGAGACATGCACAGACACACATAGACATACATAGACATACACAGACATACACAGACACACATAGACATACACAGACATACACCGACACACATAGAGATACATAGTGATAAGTGGACTATGTGTGAGACACGGTTCACTAACATGGAACAGACACACATAGACATACACAACAACAACAACAACCGCGATTCGCCACTAAGTGGCGGTGACGTCACCACGACGCTTGTGCCAGGCCATGTGCACCTTGAGGCCACGTGAAGTGTCGAAAGCCCGCTGGCAGGAGGTCACGGGGCAGACCCAGCAGGTGCCACGGGTCGACTGACCGAGATGACCGAGATGACTGGCTGATGCACCACCTGTGCCCCCTACTGTGCCAACTTGCTGTACTTTAGCACCGGCGCTCTGCTCGTTGTTGTGAGCGTCGCTCCTCCGCCCTCCGTTGTAGTTGGAGGGCGACTGCCTCCAACTGCCCAGTAGCGTCCTTCACGAGCCTCCTCCACAGAGGCCGATCTTGACACCGCTGGTACCTGTCATCGGCAAGTCCACTCAGCTCCACGTCCTCCTGTACCACATCACTCCATCTCTTCTCTAGCTCGTGCCGCGCCCGTTTAGCCCCCTAGATCCGGCCGAACAAAAGCTGTTTCGGCATGCGGTGGCTGGGCATGCGGGCTACATGACCCAGCCAACGCAGCCTTGCCTGCCGGAGGAGCTCACCGATGGGACTTTGCCCAGATCTTTCAAGGATTTGTGAGCTCCTCACACAATCTAGCCTGGTTAAACCCAGGATGGATCGTAGGCAGGCCAGCCTAAATGTTTTCAACCGGCGAAGATGCTCCATTAGGGGGGTCCATGTTTCGCAAACGTAGAGAAGGGAGGGAATGACCGTGGCCGAGAAGACCTGAAGCTTCGTGCGGAGTGACAGACCAGGTAGCTTCCACACAGCGTTACGCAGCCGATGAAAAGATAATGCCGCTCGACTGATTCGGAGTGAGACCTATGCTGTTAAACTGGAGCTGGTCATGACCACACTGTCCCGGTATGGGAAACTGTCCACTCTCTACAACTGCCCCGTCACCAATTGGGAGTTGTGGGGGTGGAGTGTCTGATGATACAAAATGCCCAGGCAGGTGCTTCATTTTGGTGGGGCTGATGGTAAGGCCCCCACCTCTTTATCGCACATTCCAGGTTCAGCAGCAGTGCCTCCAACTCCTCCTCTTAGTGAGCAGCAATTACCAGATCATCGGCATACATAACATGGTTGAGCAATAGGGAGCCATCCCTTGACCACACCCAGGCATCCCATTGTATCTGGACCAGATAGAAATTCCTCAGGTACAGCCATCGAAGGCTTCACAAACTACGTGCTCGAAATATGTTAAATAATGTGGAATCCAGAGGACATCCCTGTCGCACCCGAAGGTGAACAGAGAATGGCTCCAACTCCCGGCCACATAGTTTTACCTAGGCCTGCTCACCATCATCAAGGTCTTTAATGATGGTATCATAGGCCTTGACCAGGTCAATAAAGCAGAGATGTAGGTCTTGTTAGAATTCCCTACACTTCTGCTGTAGTAGTCGGACAGAAAATATGGCATCTGTGCATGACCGCCCATTCCTGAAACCACATTGGGGCTCCGCAAGCCTCTCTTCAGCATGCCTGGTAAGGTGATGTTGAATAAATAATCCTTGCCAGGACCTTTCTCGGAACACTGAGGAGTGAGATGCCCCTGTAGTTGTTACAGTCTGTGCGGTCCCCCTTCTTAAAGAGGGGGACCATCAGGGCATCTTTCCAATCCTGAGGAACCCATCCAGTGGTCCAGACTGTTATTATGATGTAATGTAGGGCAGTCTGCACACAAAGCCACCCTCCCTCAGCATTTCGCTTAGGAGATCATCTCTGCCCGGTACCTTTCATGGTCTCAGACTCTTGATCGCCTTCAATACTTCCTCAACAAGATGGCACCTCAGCCAGCCACTCACAGGGAGTGACTACTTCTTCCATATTTGAGGCACTGCAGCCTCAGTAGAGGTATCCCCACTTTGCCCCATGATGTTTTCCAGGCTGAGGGATTTTCCCTCTTCCAAGACCTCACAAAAATGCTCAGCAAATCTGCAAACAGATAGGTGTGGCGCTGCAAGTTACTTTTTTTTCGTGGAATTAAAGAGTGTTTTGTGATTGCAGGCCACTGAGGCAGATTCCATCTCTTCAGCAACCCCGACCACCACCCATCCTTGCAGCACCTCACGGCTCTCCGAACCTCTGAGTGAAGGCTTTGGTAAGCCTCTTCATTCTCAGACGTGGGATGCTGTAGACGATTAGAGTGGGCCTGTCGCTTTTTCTCAGCCAGCCAGAACACCTCCTCTGTCAGCCAGAGTCGCCGGGGAGGTCTGGACCGTGTACCCAAAGCAGCCATTGCAGCTTCCATGAGCCACAGTACTAAACCTCGGCCGTTTTCCCTAGACATTAGTGGGGATGATGCCAACCCCAGCTGCACGCGATGATGAAATTCTCGCTTGCAACTTTAATCAGCTAGCTGAGGCCATGCCACTATGGGGTTTAATGGAGTCCTGAGTGTACACCCACCACTGGAGTGGAAGAACGGCAGGCACATCTTACAGAGGACATGCCGATGGTCAGTAGGCAGATCAGCTCCACGGTAGATCCTGGTGTCAAGGACATGGGCCAGCATCCGCTGTTCTGCCACTATATAGTCCAGCAGATGTTCTTGCTTGGAACCGGTGTGCATCCATGATGTTGTGTGGATCTGTTGATGCCGGAACAGCGTGTTGGTAATTACAGGCCCATGGGTTGCACAAAAATCTAGCAACCTTTGTTATTGAGGTGATCTGGCCTATGCCTTCCAATCACTCCAGACCAGGTGCCAGCATCATGGCCACTTTAGCTGGCACCTGTGACAGGAGGTCATAAAAGGCATCTGGCTCATCACTCCCTCTGTGTGTGTCACGCACACACGGGGTGTGGGTGGGGTAGACGGGGGGGGGGGGGTCTCACACACACAGAGGGGGTGGGGTAGACAGGGGGGGGGTCACACAGAGAACTCCGTCTGTCCCTTCGGGGCTCTGGCGAGGGGTCTGGATGTGAGCCTCATTCTCCCGGCACCTCGGGACGCAGCAGCAGCAGCGTCAGCGACTGATACCTCTCAGGTAAGGTTCGAGTTAGGGGCAGGGTTCGAGTTAGGGGTAGGGTTGGTGTTAGGGGTAGGGTTGGTGTTAGGGGTAGCGTTGGTGTTAGGGGTAGCGTTGGTGTTAGGGGTAGCGTTGGTATTAGGGGTAGGGTTCGAGTTAGGGGTAGGGTTGGTGTTAGGGGTAGCGTTGGTGTTAGGGGTAGGGTTGGTGTTAGGGGTAGCGTTGGTGTTAGGGGTAGCGTTGGTATTAGGGGTAGGGTTCGAGTTAGGGGTAGGGTTGGTGTTAGGGGTAGCGTTGGTGTTAGGGGTAGCGTTGGTGTTAGGGGTAGCGTTGGTATTAGGGGTAGGGTTCGAGTTAGGGGTAGGGTTGGTGTTAGGGGTAGCGTTGGTGTTAGGGGTAGCGTTGGTGTTAGGGGTAGGGTTCGAGTTAGGGGTAGGGTTGGTGTTAGGGGTAGCGTTGGTGTTAGGGGTAGCGTTGGTGTTAGGGGTAGGGTTCGAGTTAGGGGTAGGGTTGGTGTTAGGGGTAGCGTTGGTGTTAGGGGTAGGGTTCGTGATGTATATTCACCGAATGGTGGTTTCTATTCACGGTGAAAATTGTCAAAGTAAGGATTGCATAAGCATTGGCCTTCATCTCCTGTTTAGAGACGTAGAAACTCCACATTCATATGTCCGGGTCAAGTCGTTCCATGCGACAGCTTGTGTTGATTTCCCCACAAAGCGTTACTGATTTGATCGAACCTAGGAGTGTGCGATGATGATGATGATGGGCAGAGTGAACCCTCCCCCTCCCCCAACCAACTAGGATAGGCATTCCCTGTAGCCTAGTGGTAGTGCCTTACGCCGAACATTCCTTCTCCAAGTCAGCCGATGTTATTGTCATTGCTGTATTTTCATCAATATCCCATCACCAATCATAAATACTTCATCATCCACGCTCCATTATCAACATCCCATCATCATCAACACTCCATCATCATCACCACTATCCCATCATCATCAACATTCTATCATCATTATCACTCCATCATCATCATCGCTCCATCATCAATATCCCATCATCATCAACATTCCATCAATATCCCATCATCATCAACATTCCATCATCAATATCCCATCATCAAGACTCAATCATCATCAACACTCCATCATCAATACCCCATCATCACTCCATCATCAATATCACATCACCATCATCAACACATCATCATTATCAACACTCCATCATCATCACTCCATCATCATTATCACCCCATCAACATCATCACCATTCCATCATCAACACTCCATCATCAATATCCCAATCATCATCAACGTCCATCACCATCAACATCACCCCATCATCACCATCAACACCACACCATCACCATCAACTCCACCCCATGATCAGCATCAACACCACCCCACCATCATCACCATCAACACAATCCCATCATCGCCATCAACACCACCCCATCAACATCATTAACACTCAATAATCGCCATCAGTACCACCCCATCATCACCATCAACACCACCCCACCATCAGCATCAACACCACCCCATCATCACCATCATCAGCATCAACACCACCCCACCACCATCAACACTCTCACCACCTTCATCCCGTTGGGCTCGCTCTGCGGATCGACTGGTCTCCGCCATAGGAACGTGGACAGTGTCTCCCCGCCCTGCCACGTGTCAGGCCGGGCCATGCGTCACGTGACCTGCCTGGCCCTGCTGGGCGCTGCTCTCCTCTGCGTCTCCCTGGCGAGTGAGTGGCGCACCACGTGACCCGTCATCCCTGCAGGGCGATGTGGTGGTGGCGGTGATGTGGTAGTGGTGGTGATCATGATGGTGGTGGTGTGGTGGTGGTGGTGATAGTGATGTGGTGATGGTGGTGATCATGATGGTGTTGCTGATGTGGTGGTGGTGGTGGTGGTCATCATGATGGTGGTGGTGTGGTGGTGGTGATAGTGATGCTGATGTGGTGATGGTGGTGATGGTGATCATGATGGTGGTGGTGTGGTGGTGGTGGTGGTGATAGTGATGCTGATGTGGTGATGGTGGTGACGGTGATAATGATAGTGTTGCTGATGTGGTGGTGGTGGTGGTCATCATGATGGTGGTGGAGATCATGATGGTGTTGCTGATGTGGTGGTGATGTGGTGATGGTGGTGATCATGATGGTGTTGCTGATGTGGTGGTGGTGGTAGTGATGTGGTGGTAATGGTGATTATGATGGTGTTGCTGATGTGGTGGTTGTGACGTGGTGATTGTGACGCTGATATGGTGATGCTGATATGGTGATGGTGGTCGTGATGGCGGTGCTAAGGTGGTGGTGATAGTGATGGTGTGGTGATGCTGATGTGATGGTAGTGGTGATGCTGATGTGATGGTAGTGATGATGCTGATGTGGTGGTGGTGGTGATAGTGATAATGATGGTGGTGCTGATGTGATGGTGATGTGGTGATGGTGATGCTGATATGGTGATGGTGGTGATGGTGATAATGATGGTGGTGCTAAGGTGGTGATGATAGTGATGGTGGTGATGCTGATGTGGTGGTAGTGGCGATGCTGATGTGGTGATGCTGGTGATGGTGATGGCGGTGATAAGGTGATGATGCTAGTGATGGTGGTGGTGATGGTGATGCTGATATGGTGATGGTGATAATGATGGTGGTGCTAAGGTGGTAATGGTAGTGATGGTGGCGATGCTGATGTGGTGATGCTGGTGATGGTGATCGTGGTGATGGTGGTGATGTGATGGTGGTGATGGTGATGGGGAGCGGTGGTGTCGCGGTTTGCGCGCTGCGCTGCGAACCCGGCGACCCGAGTTCGATTCCAGCTCACGGCCGCCACCAGTGACGATTATCTAAACCGGTCCTGAGCCTCCCCTAGGTCGACTCAGCCTCAAATAAGTATCTGGTGTGGTGTGTAAACATCACCACTGGGGAGACAAAGGCGGCCGGTAGTGGTGCTGGCCACCTACCCCCTCATGTGCCGTTCCGGCCTTCATAGCTGCTACTCGCTAACAGCACTTGCCCCAACGATATGTGAAGGCTACACGGGGGATCTTTGTCTTTGTTTTTAATGGTGATGATGGTGATGATGATGCGGTGCTGGGGACGGCTGGCGATGGTGGTGGTCGTGGTGGTGATGATTGTGGTTGTTGTGGTTACGAGTGATGATGATGATGGTGATTCTAATAGTGATGGTGGTAGTGAAGATAATGATGATTGTGTTGGTGGTTGTGAGTATGACGGTGGTGGTGCTGATGGGGGGCCGTCCATAAATGACGTCACGCACCTGGGGGGGGGGGGTCAGACATTGGTGACGATGTGTGACGAGGAGGGGGGTTTGAGAAATGTGACGTCACGTAAAAATGCGCAACTTTAAATAAATGTAGACAACACGTTCTACTTAATTAAATAGACTTTTTAATAAATGTTTTCTCCTACAACGTCAGAGTGCAGCGCCATATTAAATACGCACGATGGCCGAGTACCTGCAAAGGAATGCGTACGTCGATACATCTGTACAGAAGGCAGGAATATCAGGGTTCTCTGGCTGCTTGGAACATTCCAGCATGATCTGGCACCAGATCCAAATGGCCAAGGTGGAGAAAAGGGACCTCCATGTAGTCTTCCTCGACCTCGCCAATGCATTTGGCTCTGTGCCCCATGAACTCCTGTGGTCTGCCTTCAGATTTTTCCACATACCGGACACCATCACAACCCTGGTGAAGTCGTACTTTCAGGATCTGCAGTTCTGCTTCACCACCTCAGAGTTCACCACCTCATGGCAATGCCTGAATGTAGGTATAATGGCGGGATGTACCATTTCTCCATTGGCATTCATAATGGCAATGGAGGTTATCATCAGATCCTCAAAATGGGTTGCTGGTGGACAGCGAGTCGACTCTGGTTTCCGCCTCCCTCCACTCAGAACCTACATGGACGACATTACAACATTGACCACCACTGTCCCATGCACCAGGAGACTGCTCAGAAAACTCGAGGAGAACATCAGCTGGGCCCGTATGAAGATTAAACTATCCAAGTCACGCAGCATCTCGATTGTGAAGGGAGTACTCTGTGACCTGAAATTCTTCATCGGAGATGACCAAATCCCAACAGTGTCTGAGCAGCCGGTAAAAAGCCTTGGAATGTGGTATGATGCAAGCCTGAAGGACAAAGACAAGGTGCAACAGCTGCGCAAAGACATCAGTAGTAGCCTACAGTCCATCGACAACACCCAGCTACCTGGAAAGTTAAAGGCCTGGTGTCTGCAGTTTGGTCTCCTACCCCGGGTGTTGTGGCCCCTAGCAGTGTATGAGGTTCCAATCTCAACAGTGGAGAAGATGGAAAGAGGAGCCACGAGCTACTTAAAGAAGTGGCTCGGAGTTCCACGATGCCTTACCACCATAGGCCTCTATGGAGATGGTGTCCTCAAGCTGCCCCTCACCAGTCTAACCGAGGAATTCAAGTGTGCAAAAACCAGGCTCCAGATGACACTGAATGAATCTCGAGACCCAGTGGTGAGCAACAACGCGCCGACCTTGGCAACTGGGCGCAAATGGAGGCCAGGAAAAGCAGTCCAGGAGGCAACAGCAGCCCTCAGACATGCTGACATTGTGGGTCATGTTCAGCAAGGGAGAGGAGGCCTTGGGCTAACTAGCCGTGCTGCTTGGAGTAAGGCCACTGCACCAGAGCGGCGGAAGATGGTAGTGCAGAAAGTACGCCATCAGGAGGAGGCTGCAAGGTGGGCCAAGGCAGTCTCTCTTGCCAAACAAGGACAGTGGACTCGATGGGACAGTGTGGAGAAGAGGAAGATCGGCTGGAAGGATCTGTGGGCCATGGAAGCGAGGCGGTTGAGCTTTTCCATCAGAGCAACATATGACATCCTTCCAACACCAGTTAATCTTCACCAATGGTATGGTGAAGATCCGGACTGTGCCCTCTGTTCCATGCCAGCCAACCTCAGGCACATTCTCACAGGGTGTAAAACAAGCCTCACCCAAGGACGCTACACTTGGCGTCACAACCAAGTCCTTAAAAACCTTGCGTCCGCCCTGGAGGACAAGCGAGCTGCCACCAACTCCCTACCACCCCCAGCAGCATCACACCCCTTACGGACGACCTTTGTCCGCGAAGGGGCTAAACCACCGAAGAGCGGCTCTACACCAATAGAGCGAGACCAGCTGCGCTTGGCCCGCGACTGGAAAATGCTAGCTGACATTGGCCGGCAACTTGTGTTTCCTCCGGAGATCGCAACCACCACCCTAAGACCTGACATGGTGCTCTGGTCCCGTTCGCTCAAGAAGGTCTTCATCATTGAGCTCACAGTACCCTGGGAGGACTCAGTAGATGAGGCTTATGAGCGAAAACATCTGCGCTATGCCGATCTAGCTGCCGAAGCACGGCATCATGGCTGGAACACAGAAGTCCGACCAGTGGAGGTGGGCTGCAGAGGTTTTGTGGCAACATCTACAACCAGACTGCTTAGAGACCTGGGAATTAAGGGCCAGAGCCAGCGTTCTGCAATCAGAGCTGTATCGGAGACGGCAGAAGGCAGCAGTCAGTGGCTCTGGATGAAGAGGAAAGACCCCAGCTGGGCCCCAAAGTGAGAGGGCCAGGAGGTATGCAGTCAACAATGCTTGACTCAGGGAGGAGGACGCCCCTGCCATGCATAGTCCCATGGGATGTTGGCTATCAACAACAAGGCAACTCCTACGACTAATTGGGAATGGGACGCAAGCGTAGGATTGATCACCCTGTCGCTGGCCGCCTTTGGGGAGGGTGTATCGTGTGAAAGGCCGAAACACCCTAGGAACCAAAGGGTCACTACTGACGATGCGCTCCCCAAATTTCACCAGGCTCACTGTTCATGAACTCTTGGAAGTGCTTGCACAAAGGATAGTAACATCTCATCCTGTGTTCTTTGGAAACAATAGTTTAAAGCGATTTGAAGCATGTTTTATTTATTTGGGGGGGGCAGAGCTTTGTGACGTCATATTTGAGGGGGGGGGTCTGACTTTTTGTGATGCCGTGACGAAGGGGGGGGGGTCAAAAATCGTCCAAAATCGCGTGACGTCATTTATGGACGGCCCCGTGGGGGTTCTCATCGCGATGAGAGTGATGACGGTGGTGGTGGTGATGGTGGTGATGATGGTGGTGGTGATGGTGGTGATGGTGGTGATGATGGTGGTGATGGTGGTGATGGTGGTGGTGATGATGGTGATGGTGATTATGGTGATGGTGGTGGTGATGGTGGTGATGATGGTGGTGATGATGGTGATGGTGGTGATGATGGTGGTGATGGTGGTGATGATGGTGGTGATGGTGATGGTGGTGATGGTGGTAATGGTGGTGATGGTGGTGATGTGATGGTGGTGATGATGATGGTGATGGTGGTGATGATGATGATGGTGGTGATGGTGGTGGTATGCGAGAAACCACACCCGTGGTATGAGCGGCAACGCTCTCTCCCGTACGGATGGAAACAGATGGAGATTAGTCCACTCACTCTGCTGTACCGCCTTCTCCTGGCAGAGGAGGGAGTTTCACACACGATCCGAACGTGATCCATCAACCCTCGCCCCTGCAGTGCTGGATTACAGGCTGCCACCAGCTATCCTTGTGATGATGGTCATGATGATGGCGATTATGATGATGATGGTGATGATGGTGATGATGGTGATGATGATTGTGATGATGGCGATGATGAAGGTGATGATGATGGCGATAATGGTGATGATGAAGGCGATGATGGCGATGATGATGATGATGATGGTGATGACGATGGTGATGATGGCGATGATGAAGGCGATGATGGCGATGATGGTAATGATGATGATAATTTTGATGATAATGTTGATGATAGTGATGAAGGTGGTGATTCTCATCCTGACGATGGTGGTGGTGATGATGATGCTGATGGAGATGATGATGGCGATGATGATGGTGATGATGGTGATGATGATGGTGATGATGGTAATGATGATGAAGGTGATGTTGATGATAATGTTGATGATGGTGGTGATTCTCATCCTGACGATGATGATGAATATCTCCCGTGGTTGCCCGTCCACCCACCCACCCCGATGATTCTGACGATGATAGTGACGATGATTCTGACGGTGACGCTCACGATAGCAATAATGGCGTCGATGTCTCGTGGTCGCTCTCCACCCTCCCCCAGTGCCCCGCGTGGAGTCCCCACGTCCTCGCCGGGAGCTGCCCAACTGGAGCTACTCGGCCTCCGACTTCTGGGCCTGGGTGCACGAGTTGCGGGACACGGGCGCCTACGAGCCGCACGACGCCATGGCGCGCACCTACTGGGCACACTTCCCCGTGGCCACCACGCTCGGGCTCGAGGCAGGCCTCCAGGAGGAGTGACCCCCTCCCTGCCTAGCTACCCCTCCGCCTACCTATCCCCCCCCGCTACCTACCTATCCCCCCCGCCTAGCTATTCCCCTACCGACCCCTCTATCCCCCCACCTACCCCCCCCCTATCCCCCCTTACCTATCCCCCCACCTAACTATCCCCCCCTACCCCCCCCCCCCGCCGCCTACTTATCCCCCTACCGACCCCTCTATTCCCCCACCTACCCTCCACCTACCCCCTCCACCTATACCCCCATCTACCCCCACCTACCTACCCCCCCGCCTCCCACCGCCATCACTGTCACCAACACAATCCCAATTGTCTTCAAGGTCACCATCGCTATGAGAATCACCATCATTATCACTCGTCACCACAGCAAACACGATCATCATCACCATCACCACCACCATCACCACCGCAACTACCACCATCACCACGATCACCACCACTATCACCACCACGATCACCACCACCATCACCACGATCACCACCATCGGCAGCATCCCCAGCACCACATCATCGCCATCAAAACAAAGGCAAAGGTGCCCCGTGTAGCCTTTTAGCAGCATGTTGGGGCAAGTGCTGTTAGCAAGCAGAAGCGCCTACGAAGGCACGCCGCACCGGGTACTCATTTAAGGCTGAGTCGACCCAGGGGTAGGCCCATCACCGGTTCACGTCATCGTCAGCGGTGTTGGTGGCCGTGAGCGGGAATCGAACTCGGGTCTCTGGGTTCTTAGCGCGGCGTTGCGCTAACCGCTGCACCACCGCTCCCCATACTCATCTCCACGCCGAGTGATGCCATCGTGATGAACTGGGTGGTGAGTCGAGGTCGAGACATCCACGGTGGCTAGGGGATGTTAACTACCTCGCCCGGTGTGCAGGAGGTCGTGGGCTCGATCACGACCCTGACGCCTGCTGCTGTGTATTTGAAGTTTGCGTGTCTCTCTCTCATCATCATCACGGTGGCTAGGAGATGTTAACCACCTCGCCTGGTATGCAGGAGGTCGTGGGTTCGACCCCGACCCCCTGACGACGCCTGTTGCTGTATATTTGGAGTCTGCGGTGTCTCTCTCTCTCATCATCATCACAGTGGCTAGGAAATGTTAACCACCTCGCCTGGTATACAGGAGGTCGTGGGTTCGACCCCGACCCCCTGACGACGCCTGCTGCTGTGTATTTGAAGTCTGCGGTGTCTCTCTCCACGTGGTCGCGTGGGTTTTTCTCCGGGTCCTCCGGATTCTGCTTCGACATCATCAGAGTTATTTGGTTGCCGATATAAATATCCACACGACGGCGACGATGATGATGATGGTTGCGACGATTGACGATCAGCCACTACGCTGTGATTGACAGGTCGCTTATAACAGAGAGAGCTGAGCAGCATGGCTCAGCGGGTGCAATGAAGTCAACTATGACAATTGTTTTTTTTACCCTTTTATCTGGCAACAATACTGACACCTTTTTTTTACAAGGAGTCATGTTTGCATTGACCACAATACCTGCGGTCGGAAAGCAAACAAAACACACAACTCTGATAATGTATGCACTGTCCTTGAAGTTGATTGGTCCACACCCGAGACAGCTTTTCTTAGAGCCTAGTCTCACATGGTGTTGGACCAGATGACGCCAAAAGGCGCACAACTCAAAGACAATGCACCATCAGAGTATGAGAGCTCGGGGTGAAGCATTTACACCATTGGAACCTCATTTGCCAGTAAAAAATATAATTGTTTTTTTACCCTTCTATCTGGCAAAAAAACTGACACCTTTTTAACAAGAAGTCATGTTTGCATTGACCACAATACCTGCAGTCATAATGCAAACAAAAAACACAACTCTGATAAAGTATGCACTGTCCTTGAAGTTGATTGGTCCACACCCGAGACAGCTTTTCTTAGAGCCTAGTCTCACATGGTGTTGGACAACGCGCCATCAGAGTATGAGAGCTCGGGGTAAGCCTTGTTAAAAAAGGTGTCAGTTTTGTTGCCAGATAAAAAGGGTAAAAAACAATTATCATATTTTGCTCCTGGCAAAGGAGGTTCCAATGGTGAAATAAACTGGATAAGAGTTGTATTGTTGTTGGTTAATCCACCCCCCCCCCCTCTCTCTCGATTCGCTTGTGTCGGCATTGTTGAATCGCTTATCTGTAAGCACGGAGCGATTGTTGTTGTTGTTAATGTATCACTCAACAATAAACATGCTACTCCCTCATATACACATCAATGCCTGCTCAACTAGTAAGGGGCCGTCCATAAATGACGTCACGCACCTAGGGGGGGGGGGGGGGTCAGACATTTGTGACGATGTGTGACGAGGGGGGGGGGGTGAGAAATGTGACGTCACATCAAAATGCGCAACTTTAAATATAAACACGTTCTACTTAATTAAATATAATTGTTACAACACTAATTTTGATTAATTTTCATTATTAACTATTTGATTATTTAAAGTTACTAAGGTCACATTTTATTTATTCCATGAAGCAAAAATTAGGTTATTAAACATTTTTATTCTAATGATTCTACCAGGGCTTTTCATTCTGTGGAATGAATTTGTGATTGTTATAATTGTACTCTACATTTTGCCTCGTTCTACTACAAAGATTAAAATATTTTTTATAGTTATAATTACTTTTAATATATAATTATAAGATAATTTCAATATAATATTCTGAACATCTGCAGTTTTAGTTAGACGTTGAATATTTCCAAGTAAATTGTGCTAAATTTCAGCTTTCCAACGCCTTTTTAATTAATGTTTTCGCCTACAACATCAGAGTGCAGCGCCACATTAAATACGCACCACAAAGACAACAGTTTAAAGCGATTTGTGACGCCGTGTGACGAGGGGGGGGGGGAGGGTCAAAAATCGTCCCAAACCACGTGACGTCATTTATGGACGAACCCTGAAACACCGCGAATTTCTTATCAATAATTTTTTTTTAATTCAGGAGACCATTTCAGTCGATTGGTTTCGTCAAAAAGAAACAGGGAGCCGCATGCCGTGTCATTGATTACCGCAATGCCGTGACTCGGATTCGAACCGAGGTTGCTGCGGCCACAACGCAGAGTACTGACCACTATACGATCACGGCGCGCTACGCGGCCCGCGGTCACCCAGGCCCCAAGCTGGCCACTTAAACCCCAGCCTGGCCACGCCCCCCCCGCAATAACCACCTAAACCACGCCCCCTCGCGAGGTAGCCACGCCCCCTCCCGCAATAACCACCTAAACCACGCCCCCTCGCGAGGTAGCCACGCCCCCTCCCGCAATAACCACCTAAACCCCGCCCCCTCGCGAGGTAGCCACGCCCCCTCCCGCAATAACCACCTAAACCACGCCCCCTCTCACGGTAGCCACGCCCCCTCGCGAGGTAGCCACGCCCCCACCCAGACCCCGCCCCCACACACGAACCCAGACCCCGCCCCTTCCCGTAGTAGCCCCGCCCTACTGAGACCCCACCATCAACCAGTAACCACGTGACCGGACTTCCGCCAATCGCAGGCGGCGTAAGACCCCGCCAGCTTTCGTAACGGGACGCGTGATTGGTTACCGCGCGCAAGAGCCCTACGGCGGCTTCCGTCGTTGCGTTTCGTAAATGTACAGCGGGCGATTTGACAAACTCCGTGTGAATGCGTCCGATAACTTTCTCTCTCATTTATCGTTACGAACGTTGACCTTCATTCTATTCGCGACGTCAAACGCACATCTCGTTATTTTTATAGTTCGAGTGGCGTGACGTCATCAGGCGAATGTCGCCTCCCTTGTCGGTAGTGACGTCATCGCGCAGCACCGCCGGGTGACATCATCGCACGCTTTTGACGTTGCGGAGTTTACCGCGCGCGTGACGTCTGACGCGTACGACGACAACAACGACATGACGTCATCATAGCGTCCCCGCGTGACGTCATCGACGCTATATTTATAAACATCGCGCATGACGTCATCGACCCTCCATATTTATAAACATCGCGCATGACGTCATCAAAGCGTAACCGCATGACGTCATCATAGCGTCCCCGCGTGACGTCATCGACCCTCCATATTTATAAACATCGCGCGTGACGTCATAGCCCTCAGGACCCGCACCTCCCAGGGCAGCCCCCTCCCTCACCCGGGGCCCCCCCCCCCATCCATTAATTCGGTTAAGAGGAGTCGCCGCGACCCCGCGTGACCCCGTGACCCCGTGACCTCCTCCTCGCCCCCGTGACGGCGCCGCAGCGATCGCCGCTCTCTCGTGACCCCCCCGCCTCTACCCACAACCCCCTCGTGAGTAGCCGCGACTACCCCCCCCCGCCTCTACCCCCCCCCCCCGCGACTACCCCCCCCCCTACCCCCCCCGCCTCTCTACCCCCCCCCCCCG